ATCGTCATGAAAAGAGAATTATGGTTTCATAATTGCCCAGAACATCGTAACTTGTAGCCGACAATGTTTTCAATTCTATCTTTGGGAATTTATTAAATGGGGACAAAGATTAGAAATAGCAACAGCAACAAAAGGAGTTTTCTCCTGCATATTCAGTTAACAAGAACGCTAAGAACTTACGCACATGCATGCGCACACAAGCAGGTACACACACACACCTCTCTCTCTCTCTCTGTATATATATATATATATATATATATATATATATAGGTTTGTGCAAATTAATTGAACCAAAATGAATAATTCCGTTATTATTTACTTTCGTATTTTTCCAGTGAAACATGACCCAGTATAGATGTTAATACTTCATATATCCATTCCATGAAGTTGTTCCTTGCAGATTGACCACAAATTCTCGATTGGATTTAAATCAGATTTTCCAGGCCAGTCTGGTACTTTGATTTGCTCCCTTGTAAGGCTAACCAGTGTGTTCGTGCAGCGCTACAATGTTTGTACGCCTCCTTGAAGTAACATCCACCGCAGACAATGGCCGTAGGACAACTAATCAACAATCGAGACAATAGTGACTGAGCGTGATAAAAATCTGATGCAACACATCTAAGCTACGCTTGACGTAGTGTAATGGTTAGCAAGCTTGTTTCGCTAGAACAATTACGACTGAGTAGTGAGTTCGATTCTCACTGGATGCCCCATACTTTCGACCTTGTAACATACTTAAGTTACGCTTATAAAATGACTATTCACTTTTAATCATTTAAAACACAGCATCTTTCTTAGATGTTATAATGTTAATGGTAATATTAGCCTTTTCCTTACAGGAAAAAAAAATTGAGATTCGTTGACCAAGTCGCCAGTTTCTTAGGCGATCATTTATCTTTCGATACATGACTGACGAAGCAGATTTTGGTCCAGCAGTAGGTGGCCATTTCTTTCTGCAGTTGACCAGTTACCATCCAAGGCTATAGAACTCGGTCTGTCCTACTACTAACCCATAGCTGGAGAAGAGGAGAATTCATACATTTCCCAAGGGTATTAGCACGTAAGAGAATGCAATAGATTCGACTGGAATTCAAAATCGGCTCTCCGATTCCTCAATCCGAGCCATTATGCATTACTCCACCGTGCCTCTGTGATTCTTTGGGGTTTTCTTACTTTTTATTTTAAGTGATGTGTAATGTCATCATTTTCATTATGCTATTATTTTCTCTTCAAATTATACATGCTATCCACTTTAGTTGTTGCTGCTGTTGGTAATTCTCATGTCTTTTATTTGGTACAGTCCTTTGTTTGTGATTCTGTATCGCCAGGCCACAATGTTCAAAGCATGATAATCTTCACTCGCTCAAAGACATGTTTAACCATTCATACTGGAAAGCAGTTAGTTACAGCTAACAGATATTTCTGAACGGGTTTGGTTCCGTGCATCACATCCATAGGAAAGTCTCGAGTAAAAAATTTTCGCAAGACGCGTTTTTTGGACTAAATTGATGTTTACTTTGGTGTAACTACACATGCGCACGAAGAATAGAGGACGCCGAAATTTTAAACTTTTAAAGTTATTCTTTTTTAAAATGTCTGTTTGTTATGATGGAGTTGGTGGGTGAAATAATATATTTTCATTCTTTGTCCGAATGGTCCACTATTTTGCAATAGTCTTTGCAGCTAATATTAACTACTAGCAGCATGGCCCAGCGTTGCCCGTGCTTGATTCAAAAATCGTACGATTCATACAGCAATCGCTATCATTTGACTTAAAATATTTTTGCCCTTCCTTGCCTTTAAAGGAGTGCCCTTTTCCGTGCTGATGTTGCTACATGCCTTACTTCTTGCCTATCTCATACTGCAAATTTTTTCTAAGCTCTATACTAAACATTAAATCTGTTACGAAAATAGAACTAAACAAAATGAACACAAAACGATCAGCTTTAAAAAAGAACTCGTAACTGGAAAAACCGAATGAAAAAAGAATGTTAACAACAAATACTTTTTCACACCCAGCCCAGTTCTGCGGAATCAGAATCAACGTTGAGTTTAAGCAAGCGAATGAGCCAATTGGGGTAAAGTGCCATGCCGATTTAAATTTTTTCCCACTTGTGACGTATGCAGCTATAGATATTTTTTTTTTTTGCATGCTAGCATGTTAGTTAACATTCGTGTCAGTCAGCTGTTGGCTCTCACGCTGGCCAATAGAATCTTCCTACCTATACGTGGCAGCTAGCTATAGGCTCTAAGTCTAGCCAGTAGAAAATGGCCGCAAACTACATGAAAACTGCCGTAGAAGCATGAAAAAATCGATTATTTCTACTATCGATGGGAGTTGGAAAATGCAACATCGGTCTTGGCCTTCCCACTAACTTGGAGCATGTGTATGTAAATTTTGGTGCAAATCCGTCGAAAATTGCGGCTGTGCATTCGTCACACACACACACACACACACACACACACACACACACACACACACACACACACACACATCCTGCCTTTTATAGATAGAGATATTGATTATCCTTCTTATCATACGAGATTATGCAAATGCGTTTGATAAATTACGTCACAAATAACTGCCAGGCAATCTTGTCATATATAGAAAGGATATTAGCATAATCCAGAAGATACACTGGTAGTAAACCGCTTGCATATGGATAGGAAGTGAGTTCAATTATAGAGGAATAGGCCGTGTAATTGGTAGAAGTGCCCAACAAACAGAACTGACAAAGTTTGCAATAAACAAAAAAAGAAAAAGAACAGAGAAAAAAATTAATAGGAAGAAAACAATATATGCAAGACAAAATTAGGCAAAGCAACAGCAATAAGAAAAATGTTCACAAAATAAGAATTATGTTTACACACAAAAAGGATTATGTTTAGACACAAATAGATCGCGGTGTTCTGACTTCACAGCAGAAAAAAAAAACAAACAGAAATATGGCGGATGAAGCGGCAAAGACATATGGTACAGTGGATAAAGCCGTTAGTTAGATCCAGTGACAGGACCCAAAGAGTGTGAGTTCAATACCCGGCTAAGGCAGTGGAGAACTTGGAGATGGGAATTAACAGGAGATAAGTGATAACTGACATCCATTAGGCAGTGCATGTGGAACTAGAACAGTCTACCCCGGTGAGCGAAATAAAGGGTTCAGTTCGACATTCCAACCACCTGAAGAAGGCCGGAGCTTACACCGGCCGAAACGTTGTGATAAATATGGCAACAAAGATGAAGACAATAGTCCGAATAATGAAAATAGGGTACTAAATATCTCAAAAATATAGACAGATACCACGGGTTAATATATGAGCCACAACTTACTGAATGGTCTGTAGAGATTTTATTGACTACTAGTCCTTAAATTAATGAAATTAAATGTATGTAAATCATTTTAATATATTTAGATTAGGAAAATTTACTAATTACTAAGTATTTGAATGACTTTTGATTAGTCAAGCATCAAAAATACTGATTTAAAAATGGACTCCGGAACTTGTGGATAAGTTTTGTTTGTGCCATATTAAGGAAAATTTTTAAAAATAAATGTTGCTAATAAATGGTACTTTCATTAGACATTCGAAATATTTTAGATGCTTGTGAAATTGTGTGTGTCTAATAAATTAATAAAAAGACATAGGTGTATTGTCATTGGATATATTCTATGTGAAATGGAAGTAATGTTTTACGCTACAATAATTTTATTGGCCAGAGAAAAATTCTGGGTTTAAAATGGGCCATGAGTTAAAAAAGGTTGGGAACCACTGGTGTAAATAATGTTATCTTCTTATCCCAGAAATTCAGAGAGAGTGAGAGTTACAAGAGATCGAATGTTATGTTCGCCTTTGGCAAACCTTGAGCGAGTCTTAATAAAACAACAAAGTTCCTACCAGATACACATCAAGATAGTGAAGAGTTTTTTTTTTCTTTTTCCAAGAACACGAATCACAGATTTTCTTAACCAGTCCAAATAACCAAAAGAACCATTTCCTTACCAAACACAAAGAAAACGTTTTGTTTCTCTCAGAAGACGGTTCCTTTGTTCTTATAATGTTGAGATTTTTTTTTCTTAATCTGAAATTTACTTAATATTGTACAAAGGAATAATAAAAAAAGGAAGAAAAAGACGATTAAATTCTAAGAGTACAAAACAAGAAATAATATTTGAAATAAACGATATGACTTGGCAAAAAGAATGTTTTCAGGACGCAAGTAAGAGGCAATGATTCTGAATGCTTTTTTTCCCCGCTTCCGATCGTTGTTGCCAATGACCTCAGTGAAACTTACAAAGCCTGTTGAAACTTGCGCGGGACGAAATGACATAGCAATGAAACTGTCTATCCCACGAACGAGCGACTGGCTTTTAAAAAGTTCTCCCATAATCGTTTTGACAGTTAGAGCTCGTTGATTCAGACCAAAAGGGAAATCCTCACTCACCCAAACACCATTTCGTTCTTTAGAGCTGCAGGTGCAACAGATGAGTCAACAAATGTCTGTTACCATTTTGTAGCGCTAATAATTTTCGGTCACATGACATGCATTTGAAAACATGACCAAACAAAATTAATGTCCGCCATTTTTTTTTATTTGCACGAAAGAAGTTGATCGTAAACACTGTTTTTATCGCCAATCAATGTTTAGGAAGAAACATATTAAGAATTTAGTATGGGTGTTTGTTAAAACTGTGCAACTTTGGGCAGAGCGATGGATTTTCTGTAATATCATTTGAAGGTTTTCATCTTTGATATAATTTCTTTCGCTTGAAGTGTCTATAATGTTAACTCTGGCGATAAAGTAAAATTAACATTGGTACTGTAAAATGGCGGAATATTTCACGCTTCCAATTATCTGTTTTACTTTCTGGATCGTTCATATTCTTTTACAGTTTTTCTCGTCCTGATTTTCTTTCTTTTTATGTACTATCGTCTTTTTTCTATTTAATGGCTTCCTCCTTTTTTCCTTTCTTTTTTCTTCACTTCTTGTGTATTTTCAAATTATGATATCTACTAGGCAAAGCCAAATGGAGGAAAATGAAGATTGTGTTACGCCAATGCAAAATCCTGATATCTTTCTTCATGACTCATCTATTGTGCTGACGTCGATAGGAAGTTGTAACTCTTTCAACCATGTAGCCTGCCACCTGCTTTACAATTGCTTTTATATTCTTTATTCGTTTTTTCCCATGTCATCATAAACATTTGCTCTTTCTTTCTCCTCTCTATAATTTGTTTTCTCTTTTCAATAATTTCTTTTTTCTTTTTATTTTTGAGATTTTCTCTCATTAAGGCTTGTTTATTTTACTATTTCCGTATTTTTTATTCAAAATATTTTCTCTTTTTTTCCCTCATTCTGACAATCGTTATTTCCTTTTTCTTTTTCCACTCCTTGAACCTTTGCGTCTTTCTTTCTTTCTTTCTTTCTTTCTTTCTTTCGTTTGTTTTTCTTTCTTTCTTTCTTTCTTTCTTTCTTTCTTTGATAACTTTTTCTATTTATTATTTCCTTTACTTATTCTTGATTTTTCTTTTTTTTTTCTTTGTTTCTTTCTGTTACTCTCTTTATCTCTTATCTTCGTCCTTTTTTTTATCCGTCATCATTTTTTATTCCTTTTCTTTATCATTGTTTCTTCTTTCTTTCTTTCTTTCTTTCTTTCTTTTCCACTCTTTATTATTAATTTTCTTTGTCACTTTCATCTTTTTCTGTATCCGTAATCATTTTCTATTCCTTTTCTTTATTCTTGATTTTTCTTTCTTTTTTTCTTTATTTCTATGATTTACAATTTTTTATTACCCCTTTTCATCATCCTTTTTCAACTTTTTCTTTATCCTTCATCAGTTTTGTTGCTTTTATTCATCCTTCTTTCTTTCTTTCTTTTTTTCTTTCTTTCTTTCTTTCTTTCTTTGATCTATATATATTTTTTAATTTTTTACTCCCTTTTCTTTATCCTTCATTCATTCTTTATTTCTTTTTTCTCACTTTATCGTCTTTTTCTTTATCCTTCATCATCTCTTGCTCCTTTTATTCATCATTGGTATATCTTTATTTCTTCCTTTTATTCTTTAAGTTATAGAATTTTCCTTTCTTTTCTTTCTTTTTCTTCACCATTGATCTTTCGTTTATTTCTTAATTTTTATCCATTATTTCTTAATACTTTTCTTTCCTTTTCCTTTATTCTTGGGTTTTCTTTCCTTCCCTTTTTCACGTATATTACTAATCTATTCTAATACTTTTCGGCTTCCTTTACTTCATTTTATGTGTATTTGTTAGATTCGTCCCATTCTAATTTGAAACAATAAGACAGTAACGGCCGCCCTCATCAAATAACTGCCTCATAAACAGAAAACAGGTAAACAGTCTTTCTGTCATTCACACTAAGTCAAGACACTAAAAGTTACCGCATAACGAGGAAATAATAATGTCAGAATAAGTTTTCTCTTAATAGGAGTAATTCTATTTCTGAGTTCATTTCATTATTTTTACTTGTGTTCCGCCTTGGAAAAACCGTTTGTAAAAAGTGTAGAAGAGAGGAGAACAGAATAAGATAGATAGATAGATAGATAGATAGATAGATAGATAGATAGATAGATAGATAGATAAAGAGACTGAGATAGATAGATAGCTAAAGAGACTGAGATAGATAGATAGATAGATAGATAGATAGATAGATAGATAGATAGATAGATAGATAGATAAAGAGACTGAGATAGATAGATAAAGAGACTGAGATAGATAGATAGATAGATAGATAGATAGATAGATAGATAGATAGATAGATAAAGAGACTGAGATAGATAGATAGATAGATAGATAGATAGATAGATAGATAGATAAAGAGACTGAGATAGATAGATAGATAGATAGATAGATAGATAGATAGATAGATAGATAAAGAGACTGAGATAGATAGATAGATAGATAGATAGATAGACTGAGATAGATAGATAGATAGATAGATAGATAGATAGATGGATAGATAGATAGATGATAGATAAATGAGACTGAGATAGATAGATAGATAGATAGATAGATAGATAGATAGATAAAGAGACTGAGATAGATAGATAGATAGATAGATAGATAGATAGATAGATAAAGAGACTGAGATAGATAAATAGATAGATAGATAGATAAAGAGACTGAGATAGATAGATAGATAGATAGATAGATAGATAGATAGATAGATAGATAGATAGATAGATAGACTGAGATAGATAAATAGATAGATAGATAGATAAAGAGACTGAGATAGATAGATAGATAGATAGATAGATAGATAGATAGATAGATAAAGAGACTGAGATAGATAGATAGATAGATAGATAGATAGATAGATAGATAGATAAATAGATAGATAGATAGATAAAGAGACTGAGATAGATAGATAGATAGATAGATAGATAGATAGATAGATAGATAATAAAGAGACTGAGATAGATAGATAGATAGATAGATAGATAGATAGATAGATAGATAGATAGATAGATAGATGAACAGGCTGAGATAGATAGACAGATAGAAACAATTTAAGAAAAAAAGAAAGAAAGTGAGAAAAAATAGAAAGAGAAAGTGTGAAAGAACTATAGAGCAGGAATAAAGAAAAATGAAACTAAATGAAGAACTAAAAGTGTTTATAAATGAAAGACTAAAACTGAAATGAAAAAAAATTGAAAAAAGAATGTATGAAAGATGAAACGATGAACGAAAAAGGATGAAGAAAAAGAAAACAGAAAAAGTTGATAACAAAAAGAAAGAAAGAAAGGCAGAAAGAAGAACGGTGAAAAAGATTTAAGTTTAAATCCATTGAAGAAAAAAGAAGGTTCAGAAAGAAGAAATAACGGAAGTTTTTCAATGAAAGGAAGATTAGTTTGGAAAGAAAGACAAAAGGAACAGGAATAAAGAAAAAGGAAAGAATAGTAAGAATGAAAAAGAAATGAAGGAATAAAGTGAAAAGAAAAAAAGAATGAAAAAAAAAATGACAGAATAAAAGGTGAAACAATGGACGAAAAAGAGGAAGAAAGAAAGACAGGAAGAAAGAAGAACGCAAAAAAAAACACAAGTATAAATAAATTGAAGAAAGAATGTTTACGTTCATAAAATAAGGAAAGAAAGAAATAAAGTTTTATGAAAGAAAAAGAAGTTTTTAAAAGAAATAAAGAAAGGAAGAAAGAAAGAAAGGAAGAAGATTAGTTTATAAAAGAAAGATAGAAAATTGAATAAGTAAAGAAAGAAAACGAAAAAGGAAAAAATTAACTATCATAAAATCGATAAAAATAAAGAATGAAGAAAGAACGAAGCGAAATTAAGTTTTTAAAAACAAGCAAAAGTTCTTTACTGAACGAAAGTTTTACAAAAGAAAGACTGGAAGATTTTGAAAGGAAGAAATAAAGAAAGAAAGAGAGAAAGAAAGAACGAAAAGGGTGGCCATATTTTATGACGGAAAGAAAGAAGTAATGAAAGTGTAAAAAAAGAACTAAAGAAAGAATATTCATTTTTTTTTTTTATTAAACTGTAAAAGTTCAGAAAAGTACGTAAATGTAATGCTGGTTAAAATACATTCTTCTTTGATACATATACGAGGCTGCAATTTATTAATTGCAAACTCGTATATGTCGAAAAATTGCCTTCAAGTTTCACATAGACTGGTCGGGACGATAGTTTGTTTTGTTGTTGTGAGCGAAAAAAATATCTTTATTACAACCAACCCTTTTATGAAATATTCAATTAAAAAACTTTGCCTCGGAATTAGGACGTTAGAGGAAATTTCTTGAATAATTAATAAAAGGGATGGATCGAAATAAAGACTTACATATTTACCATTACATCACATTCTCATCCAACTGTCCCTCTCGCTTTCTCACGCACACACATACATACATAAATACACACACACACACACACACACACATATATATATATATATATATATTGTGTAGCGATTTTCAACATGTTTTTGTTTTAGTTTCTTAATATGCTCTGGGTTTGTAAAACAGTGACTACTACTGTTAATAATGCATGACTCTTCGGTAAATCGAATCGAGTTCTCTCAGTCACTGTGTGTTTATCTAAAAATAAATACGCTTACGTCGGATTCACGCTTATGCGATCCTCAGAGTTTGTCTGAGGATCGCATAAGCGCGAAACTGAGTGTTACAAAATCATATTAATCCAACTATATATATGTTTTGCTTTTATTTCGGAATTAATCGACAGCATTTGGTAATCTAATAATTATTTACAAACATTTTGTAAAACTAAACGCCAATCTGTTGAAAGTAAAACGATTTTTTCTGAAACAGCCATATTTAAGTAAAACAATTTTAATAATTTTCTATAAACATGCATGCATTATGAATATTTCATATAAATATATGAAAACATGACGTGTTTTTTCAAATCTTATTATCATTATTTTCTCTAAACAATGGAATCTCGGTTCGCGGATTTAATTCGTTTTTGAAGGCCGTTGGTAACCCGAAATGTTCGTAAACCGAAACAATTTTTCCAATAGGAATAAATGTAGAGAAAAAAAGGGCACAGTACAATAAAATTAGAAAAAAAAGCACAGCACAACACACGAATATATGCTACTCAAAATCTCGTTTACAGTCGCTCTCTCACAGACGTGCCGTCGCCTCCCTCTATCTTTTCTACAAATACTTTCACGGTAACTACTCCGATGAGCTGTTTTCACTAGTTCCTAAACCGCATGAATTTAAACATGCCACTAGGTCGGCAACTCAGTCCTACCCTTTCACTGTCGAAATGCTTAAATGTAGCCGTCTCTTCTACTCCAATAGCTTCATGCCTTGCACTTCCCAACTGTAGAACTCCTTTCCTCTTACTTGCTTCCCTATAATTTCATTCAAATCCACTGTCAATCGACATCTCCATATGCTTTGATTTATTCCCCGTCCTTCTCTTCATCCTTTACTCTCACTTCCACTCTCAGTAACCCCTTATTTGCTAGTGGCATTCCCGCCTTGCTTGGGGTGAAAAGTTAAAAAAAAAATACAGTAGTTGACTCAGAAATTATTCCGTTCGGGTTAACTCAGTTCGGCAATGTTGTTCGAGAACCGAAACTTTGTTCAATAACCGAGGCATTTTCAACTCGAATTTTCTGTTCAAAAACCGATTTTTTCGACATATGAGACGTTCGAGAACCGAGGTTGCACTGTATACATATATGTATATATACTTTGGAAAAATCTATGACAAAGTATAAAAAAAAAACATCTTTCGCATGACGTGCTTTGTGCCTTAGGACTTCATCAGTACTAAAGTCATATTTACATTAATGTAACTAGACATGCACATAAAGGAGAGGAAACTCTGAAATGTTAAACTTTTAAATTTAAATTTTTTTTCACTTTTTCATCTTCTCTCCGCCTCCTCCTGTCCCTCGTAGCTTTATCGTTTTGTTATTTCTCCCAGACTTTGTTCTGCCATCCACTTGCATAAGCCCGTTAAGTATATCATACATTGCATTCCCTTGTCCCTCTTTTCCACTATCCACCCTGTGAGTATCAAATTCTCCAAGCCCTCCTTTCTCATCCCAGAAATTTCAGCTGCCTCTTCCTGATGTTAAGTATAAGTTTCATCTTTACATTTATTTACAGAAGAATGCTAAGAATACCATGGACCGGAGGAGACGCATCGTTATGTGTTGAAACATGACTGCAATTGTGTACCGATTCTTACATGTTTTTGTTGTAATATTCTAATGTACACACACGTATATATATATATATATATATATATATATATATATATATATATATATATATATATATATACTTTTCTAACTATCGGTGTATTAGCCTCCCACCACTTTTTGGCAAAGTACGAGAGGCCCTAATCAACTCTGAATTGGTTAAGCAATCTCACATCGCAGGGCCTTTTCCGACAAGCGATATCACTTTCGCTACTTTAGGTCAACTGCTGATATATTAACGATTATTGCCGAAAGAGTCTATCAAGCTAGATAAGAATATCTAAATAACATTCATTTCTCTGATGACGCTTGTTGATCAACCAAACCAGTCCGAACATGAAAAGACCAATCTACCATTATATTACTGTTTTAATATAATATGCAATAGATTTTAAAATATTTGTAACTAGTATACCCGTGACGTCAAAACTAACGGCAAGAAGGAATGTATTATAAGTAATTTGTATTATATTGTAAATAATATTCGTTCAACCCCAATACAATTTTACAATT